TAATTTTTTCGCTAAATGTATCGATCTCTATCGAGGTAAAATCTGGACGATTTCTGTCGATTTTCGAAAAAGCTATGTAATTGGTTTTTTGCAAATTTAATGAAAGTTTATGGGTATCTAGCCAAGTTTTTACTCGTTTCAAACCATCTACTACCTTAGATCTAACCTCTTCCCAAGTGCTGCCACAGAAGACCATTACAGTGTCATCTGCATACGAAATTATTTTTGCTATTATTCCCTGATCTACCAGAGCCGAGACCAGAGCTTTTATGTAAATATTAAAAAATATTGGGCCAAGGACAGTGCCCTGGGGGACACCTATATTAATCCTCTGAGGCCCGCTAAAAACGTTTCCAAATTTTGTTTGTTGTTCCCGATCAGTTAAGTAGTCTGTACAAAGCCTCAACGTAGTCCCTCTCACTCCATTGGATTCTAAAATCCTCAATAGTATTTTGTGAGAGACTGTGTCGAAGGCCTTCGCCAGGTCCAGAAATACAGCAATACACTTTTTGTCTTGATTTATGTTATTAGTCACTTCTTTGAGTAAGGTGTCTATTGCATCAGTGGTACTGACACCCTCTGTAAATCCATATTGGTCTTTTGATAACAAACCGTTTTTTGTAAAAAAGTTTGTGAGGCGGTTTTTTAGACACTTTTCAAAAAGTTTAGCAAAGTTACCAATTAAGCTTATTGGTCTGTAGTTTGATATTTGATTTTTAGCACCTGATTTATAGATTGGTATAATTATAAATGGCCAGGTACAGTCCCTGTTTCAAAAATGAGATTATAAATATGCTTAAGGGGTGCCAGTAGATACTGATGCATATTTTTGATAAGTTCTACAGTAATCATATCGAGACCTGGACTACTGTCTGTTTTTAAACTGTTGATGTGCTGAATAAGTTCTTTGTCAGTTACTGGAGTTAGGAATATTGATTTGTTCACTGATTCGACATTATTTTCTAGGTTAACTTGAGGTATTTTACCAAGCATCTGAAGACCTATGTTTGAAAAATATTCATTACAGTGATTTGCCATTTCAAGATCAGTTTCAAAATTTTTGTTATTAGTATCTGTAATTTTTAAGAGACTTTTTGTTTTTTTGTTATTGTTTGTTATTTCTGTAATAATTTTATGTTTTTTTAATATCTTGTTTGCTACTTTCTATTTTTTGCTTATAATATTCGTTTTTTACTGTATTTAAGAGCTTTTTAAGGTGGTTTGGATAATTTTTGTATTCTATCTCTTTTTCTGTTGTAAAATGTATTTGAAGTTGCCTTTTAATCCTGTCTCTCTTTTTGATAGCCTTAATTAATCCTTGTGAAATCCATGGCTTTAACTTTTTGTGTTTTGTGTTAATAGTTTTTACAGTTTTGCTTTGCGTCACATAATTTTGAACAATGGTAATAAATTTACTAAAGCTAAGTTCTGTTTCGTTAGTATCTAATACCTCTGCCCACCTTTCATTTTTAAAGAACTCATTCAGCTGTCTCCAGTTAATCTCTGAGATTATCACAGTATTGCTCTCGCTATTATTATTATCTTTTTTGGTTGCAACATTTAATGAAACTGGATAGTGATCTGTAATGTCAGTCTTTATGATATACGAAAGTGTTTTTATGTTATTTAATTTAAGATTCATTTTGACAAATATGTGATCCAAACAACTTTTTGTTTTTTCTCTAGTAATATTATTTACATATGATTTAAAGCCATTAGAGGTTAACATTGAATAATAGGTGACAGTAAGAGGATCTTGGTTATCTAATAAATTAAAGTTAATATCACCAACCACTACTTCAATATTTTTCTCCGTAATGTCATTTTTAAAGTAATATTCAAAATCATTTATAAAGTTATTTTTGTTTGTAGAGGGTGACCTGTAAACTATTGTTAAACCATACTTTACACTGCTTACATCTAAAATTATTCTACTTACTATTATTTTTGTCGATTGGAGGTACTTGTTACAAAAGTAGCTATTTTTGCTAGATTAACATAAAAACAGTTGCCTTTGGTTTTAGCTAAAAAAATTTGTTTTCCACTACCGTGCGTAAAGTACTTACTTAACGCACTGTTCAAAAGACGTTGAATTAGATTTCAGATACATATAACAGACGATAAAACTTGTAAGAACGAATTAGTTTCTTCTCAAAAATGCATAAATACCCACAAGTATAAAATTTTATATTATCAAAGCCTTTGCTGCCCTTTTTCTGCATTAGAAATGTGATATTACTTTACACCTTAGGTTGTGAACAAAGTTATTTTAAACACTAGGGCGTAAAGTTGTGTTGTTGGTATATTTTTTCCAAATTTAATGGCATTCCGGAGCTATGATCTATAACGACCGCTCATAATATTGTCGGTAGTAGAAAAAAATTTGTATGCAGCAGGTGTGTAAAGCATTTTTTTTTCACACATTTGTGAAAAAAGGTTCACTTTCTACACCTGTTTTATGCAAAAAAAATTCTATTACCCACAAAATAAAGCCATAAATCTGAAAAAATATACCACAACTTCACGCCCTAGTAGTATCTAAAGTATCTAACTTAGTTCAGAACCCAGGGTGTAAAGTAAAACAGAATTTTCAGTGCAGAAGAAGAGGATGTGGCAGTGGCGTAGCCAGTGGGGGGGCAGGGGGGGCGACGGCCCCCCCCCCGCCACTACACGTATGGCGCCCCTACCGCTCTTAAAAAACAAAAATAAGAAATTATAAAATTATGCTGTTTCTTATTTATTTTATTGACCTTTTCATCCTTTATTCTTTATCGTAAGTTGGCATTGTCGACAAATGGTTCACTTCAATCAAAGGAAACATGATAGTTTCTGCGTTTTGATAATTGATGTAGTTAAAATAAAAGTACCGTATACCGCCGATTTTTTCTGCCACTTCACTAATAATATCTGAAAAACAAAATTGAAAAACAATTATTATGAATTTCAATGTATTTATTTGTTTATCAAACTATAGGAGCTGTTATCCCTCCGGATTTTCACGAATTTGTTCTTATTTTTGAGGCGTCCGGGAGGATTTTTTTAAGTTAACGTTTTATCCACACATTACTTCTTTTAATACATAAATGTTTTTCGGGGTGGCACCCCCAAAAAAAAATTGTTTTTGAAGACTTAAAATAACTTTTTTGGGCGTGGCACCCGGGGAAATTTTTCGCCTCCGGCGGGCTTTTCGTCTTCAATATTTTCCCCCAATAAGCAAATAGTACAAAAGCATACAAACATTCAGTTGATACCCCCCCCTCTTCCAAAAGAATTATGCGTCCCCTCATATGTTTGCCCCTCCCGCCCCGCAAGGCTGGCTACGCCACTGGGATGTGGGTATTTATGCATTTTTTAGAAGAAACTAATACAATTTGATAAATTTTTTTGATGTTGCAAATTACTTTACGCATTAGTTCGTGAAATTCAATTTTACATCTTTTAAACAATGCATAAAGTAAGCACTTTACGCACAGTAGTAGAAAAAAGAAAATTTGTTAGCTTAAACCAAAGACAACTGTTTTTATGTCAATCGAGCAAAAAATCAAGTTTTCACATCCTGCATAAGTTTTTTTTTTGGATTCTCAAGTTCTTTAAGACTATATCTCCCCACTCCCAACTACTCAACCCATGACAAACTCAAAAATTGTTTTAAAATCAGAAGAAAAGCGCATATTTTCGAACTTTTTTTGCTAAGAAGCACCTGCGGTTCAGAGAAAATTGATGAAAAACAAATCGATTTCTTTTTTTTACAGAGTACTATTGATGGGTACTATCATCTGTGAAAAAATCAGCTTGATTGCAAAAACTTCTCCTAAAGGCCATTTTTTCAGCCAACTCCCTTGGCCTAAATGGCTTTTGGACAAAAAACGTTTATAATCGAACAATTTTCCCTTTGTTTGTTGGATGCATTTGCAAGACGATTGGAGTACTATAAATCTTTGGCTAACTTTATAAGTTTTCTGTAGATTGACCAGTAGTTTTTGTGAATTATCAGTGAATTTTCCAGTATAGTGAAGATTCTGAAAATTCTTAGAGGAGACCTCAAGTCTTCTGGTGAACCAAGGTTTTTTATTTGTTAATTTAACTTATAAACAAATAATTGTTTACTTCCTATTTGGAAAATATTTTAAAAAATGTAAAACATTTAAACTCCATAATTTTTGAAAAAAAAATTCAAAAAGGTTATCCACAATGTTGACTTCCTGAGACCCAATTCTTGAATAATCTCGCATACGAAAATTGATATTATTTCGAACGTTTCCTATTCATTTAACATTGCTGTCATTCGAATTCAAATCAACTTGCGTATGCGAGAATATTCAAGAATTGACCCCCTGTACCCTAAATCTGCGAATACAAAAAATCCACAGAAAGATAAATTAATTGACCTTTTTATTTTATTGTAACACTCAACCTAATTGAACAATAATTATTAATCACTTCCTACTTCCCAGTTTCTTTGTTTAGAGTTAAGATTAAGACAAAATTATTATCAAAAAATAATACAATTCCGATAGAATGACCATCTTAAACTGACCCTGACTGAGTGCAATGAAGTCTGAAAAAAAAAGCGTAAAAATCCCATAAACCTGTCCCAACAAAGAGCCAGCCAGTGGGAGGTCAAAGACCTTATAAAGGCCTGATTCAAGGTCTATCGAGGTACATTCCAGACTTAAATTTTTCACTTCGAGACAAAAATAATTCATAAAAAAATATTTACCAAAAAAAATTGAATCACTGACTAATTTTAATCAATCCACAAATTCCTAGAAATTTTATTGCAACGCAAATTAAAAACGTTCGAGAACAAAAGATTGATTTCTAAGGTTAAAGTCGAATTATTGTGGAAATTATTAATAGTAAGCAAACTAAACAAGGAAAATTGGTGTGAAGCATTTTTTTCGCGTCGAACCAAAAAAATGCGAGTTTGGGTTTGACCGAAAAGCCAAACCCCAAGCCATTTACCATTGAAATTCCATGCTAAAAAAAAAGCCACTTACCACTTTGAATCGATGGGGCAACTTAAAAAAAGGAAAACTTGTATAATTTCGCACGGGTTTTCTAGTTTTTCTTGCGCGAGGGTGTAAATTTTTATAAATTAAAAAGTGTTTTATTAATTTTTCAGTCGTGGCTTGTTGTTGCCTCGACTGACGTTGAATGAAAATGACTTTCAGTGTTGCCAACGGGTAGTTATCAAAATGCTCCCCATTTGTAGTGAAAACGCTCACATTGTGCTCACATGCACTAAAAATAACGTCAATGTCAAAATGTCAATAGTTTTCGAGTTTTCCAGTATTAAGTATGACATTTGACATTTGACTACGGGATCACCAGGCTGATGTACATTGTCGTTTTTCAATCGTGTTCATTAGAAAAAAATAAATAACAAACAGCTGGTGATTGGCTGTTGCAATCCAAGGAGAATACACACTCTAATGCCTCATTCTGACTTGCGCGAAATTCGCTCTTTTTTGACATTCCCTGCGTTTTTATTCTCATCAAATTTTACTGATGGATTCACCATTCTATGTCGGTCATTGTCATTTTCCATTCACTAAACGAAGATAGCTAACTCATCGGAGAAGTCACCGGTTAGAATAGAAAAGAGGGGATATCTTCGACAATTTGACGTTTTATGCGCGTATTAAACATCAATTTGTCGATGCAATGTCAAAAAAGAGCGAATTTCGCGCAAGTGAGAATAAGGAGTGCTTATCAGCCTCGTTTTTGGTAATCGCCGCCATATTGGTGTGATACCATTTCTGACGTCATAACTAAGTCGTCAGCTGTTTAAACAGCCTACGTCAAGAGTCAAGGCAAGAAATGACATTCTGTCTACGTCACAACTGGTATTTTGGCGTGGGGGGATTTGTTACACAGAGGCCTTATGACTCTTATGAGGATAGGCCATCCTGTAGTAGTAGTGAGTGTGTATCATCCTTGAATGGAATCAGCGTTTCTAAAACGGCCTCTTGACAATCTTGACACGTGACGTGACATACATAGTTCTTTTCTAAAAAGTTAGGCGCTTGCTCTTTGCTTTGCCACGAGTTATGACATGGCATGGCTCTCGTGTTGGGACGAATTTAATTTAATTTTTATTTTTTTCGGTTAATAAATACCAAAAAATGCTCACATCTTGCCAATGCTCCCATTTTTACCCCCAGATATATCAAACGCTCACAAATGTGAGCAAATGCTCACACATGGGTAACACTGATGACTTTTCGGGCCCGGGTGACAGCTCCAAGCGGTGTTGCCGTCAAAAGCCGATCATCATGCAGTGTTGCCAAAGCTATTTTCTACAAAAAATTGTTTTGTTTAAACAATTTAAAAACAAAATCAATCCTTAAATATTATATTATAAAAATCTTGTATTATACAACTTAGAATATTATAAATAAAATAGAAACTTGCAACTTTTAGGATAAAAGTTTTATTTTACAATAAACAGAAATCACATGTGGCAACGTTGGCGGCAAGTTGTCCAAAAAAAAAAGGAGTGACTTGGTGCAACTCCTACCTGTTCCGAACTCTAAAAAAAATGCCGGGAGATTTGAATTGAATTAATTTTTATTTTTTTCTAATTATCCTAATTTTTTGGGATAGGGATGAGAGATTTTCAAAATAATAATTTTTTGATTTTCAAAATACTAATTTATTGTGAGATTTCAACATTGATTTTCGAAATATTTCAAATAAAATGAGATTTCACAACAATGATATCTTCATTTTAAAGATAAGAAATATGAGATTTTTATGACAACTTTTGAGATATTTCAAAAACTCACATATATCTTAATATTCAAGATAAAGAGAGGATATTTTCCGAACAATTATTTCTTGATTTTTAAGATAAGAAATATGAGATTTTTATAACGATTTTTGAGGTAATTTGTTCATTTTTATATTTGTTCATGTTATATTTGTTTATTTTTAACCATATATGTAATGTTGACATTACAGTCTTTTTAAAAATTTGGAAATGTCACTTTACTGTCTTTTCATTTCCCTGCTCCACTTCCCGTCCCCATTTCCCGTCCTCACTTCCCGTCCTCGTTTCATTATATTTATTATGTGGCAGGTATTGTCAAAATTTTTTCAAAATTGATGACAATGACATAAAATTCAAGCAAATAGCATGAAGCTACGTTCACATTCAATTTCATTTCTAATTTAAATTAGCAAAGTATACTATGCTCGACAGGAAATTTAATTACTGTCTCGAGATATAGTTTAAACTATAAAATCTCTCGACAGTAATAGCTAATTTCCCGTCTCGGATTGTAATATACTAGGTATTATTTTTACTTTATATCATTTTATTTTAACTTTGTATACATGTAGATGTATAGGTAAAGTTTGTTTTTTATTTAAAGATAAGTCAGTCAAAAATTTAGTAACTATGTTGGCAACACAAGCCTTTTCTACATAAAAAATTTGAAAGCATTGACAATTTCACATTGTATTGCCAACATAATGTCATTTTGACTTTTATCTTTAAAAAAAAAAAACAGACTTTATAGTATATATTTTTATATTTAGGTAAGGCTTTGTCTACAAATTATGTTATAATTTTTTTTGACAATAAAGCATTATTATTATACAGGTAATAAAGAAAAGATATCAGAACAATTATTTCTTAAATTTTAAGAAAATAAAATAAATATGAGATTTTTGAAACTGTATTTAAGATGTTCCCGAAGACGTTTCATAATATACATATTACATCTTAATTTTTAAGATGAGAATTATATGACATTTTTATGACATTTTTTGAGATATGTATTTCAAAAACTTTACTATTCTTGTCTTAATTTTCAAGACAAAGAAGATTGTAGATTGTAGATTTCGGGGGAGTCGTTTCGGCTTTTCAGCCGCTCAGCACTGCTACCTTTGCAGATATTTTGTGCGTGACTCTACATCTTAATTTGTCTCCAGGAAGCGTAGACTTCTGCCGAAGGAAGCTATTTTCCTGGGTGTCAGTTGGCCCACTTCTTCTGGTGACAGTGTTGCCCCCTCGAGGAATTTGAGCCTCTTGCAGAATTGGGCTGGACATTCGCAGAGCAGGTGCTCTACGGTTTCTATTGCGTCTGAGCAGAATCTGCAGAGATCGTCTTCTGCTCTGTCCATTAACCTTAAATGGTATTTTACTGGGCAGTGTCCTGTGAGCAGTCCCACCACCAATCTGATGTCTGGTCTGCTCATGCTTAGGAGCTGTTCAGCTCTTTTTGCTGAAAGGGTAATAAACTTTTTTGACTGTCTGAGTCCCGGTGTGTGCCTCCAATATAATGACAGTTGGTCTTTCTCCCATTTGTTGAGTTCTTCCATGATGTGGCTTTTCATTAAGCCACAGTAGGGCTCTGGTCCATGGTATGGTGTTGAGGCCCCTTCCTTTGCGAGGCCATCTGCCTCTTCGTTTCCTTCTATGCCTCGATGACCAGGCAGCCACATCAGCGTTACCTGGTTGTGTGTCGCTAGTGTTTTTAGGGTCTGTTTACACTCCCAGACTAGTTTTGACGTGCATTTGAAAGCCCTCAAGGCTTTTAAGGCAGCTTGGCTGTCCGATAGTATGAAGATGTGTTTTCTTTGGAGGCTTTGGTTAAGACACTCTTGTGCACATATATCTATGGCAAGCAGTTCGGCTTAAAATATTGTAAGATGTTTACCCAATGCCTTCTTGGAGAGCTTGAAGTTAGGGCCGGAAATGCCCAGTCCAGCTCCTACCATTAGCTTGGATCCATCTGTGTACCACAGAGATGCATTGTCTGCTTGTGGTAGTTCTTTATTCTCCCATGATTGGCGGTCGTTTATTACCACTGCGAAGGGGATCTCTAAGTCCAATCTGACCATCATGTGGTCACTTGGTTTGCTGGCATTCTCCAGTGTTATTAGATCAACGATTTTCAGATGTCCCCTCAGATCGCCAGGCTTGAACTTGTCTATTTGGAATAGCCTGTGAGCGCTGGTTATTGCCTCCTTTTTCACACATAGGTGAAGTGGGGGCATGTTGAGTAGCGTCTCTAGGGCTGCGGTGGGGCAAGTTGACATTGCTCCCGTTATTCCTAGACATATCAGCCTTTGCACCTTTCTTAGCTTAATCTGAGCGGTGACTTGTTGGGTTTTGGGCCACCACACCAATGAGGCGTATGTGACCATAGGCTTTATTATGGTTTGGTAGATCCAGAATACCATCTTTGGCTTTGCCCCCATGTTTTGCCAACAAGTCTTCGGCATGACCAAATGGCTGATGTAGCTCGAGAGCATGTTTTCTCTAACTGTTTGTTCCAAGTGAGGGTTTGGTCCAGGGTGACCCCTAAGTACTTCACTTCGTTGGAAAATGTTAGTTGTGTACCGTTAAGGGTCGGGGCTTTCAAATTTAGCTTCCTTCTTCTTGTGAACGGGACAAGGATTGTTTTGTTTGCGTTTAGGGATAGTCCTTCGCCTTCGCTCCAATTTTTAACGATGTTTAGGGCACTTTGCATTCGGCTTGTCACTATACCTTCATGTTTGCCCTTGATTACGATGGCTAGGTCATCTGCGTAACCTATGACCTGGTATCCAGCACTACTCAGTCTGGTAAGAATTTTGTCTACCACCAGTGTCCATAGTAGCGGAGAAAGAACACCCCCTTGAGGACACCCTCTGACCGTGGTAGCGGTAGCTCATGCTCCGTTTATTTCAGCCGTAACGTGACGGTGCTTCAGCATCGACTCTATCCATTTTACAATTGGAACTTCAACATCCCATTCTTGTAATGCTCTGGCGATTGATTGATGTGAGGTGTTGTCAAAGGCACCCTCTATGTCGAGGAAAGCTGTGAGAGTGATCTCTTTGCACTCGATTGTCTTTTCAATGTCTTTAACCAGGCAGTGTAAAGCACTTATCGTGGATTTGCCTGGCTGATAGGCAAATTGCTTCGAGTAGAGCGGTCTTCTCAATAGAGTTTCGCTTCTGATGTACTGGTCGATTGCTTTCTCCATTGTCTTAAGGAGAAAGGAGGTTAGACTAATGGGACGATATGATTTTGGTTCGTCCTCGGGTCGGCGACCCGTTTTTGGTATGAATATCACATTAGCTTCCCTCCAAGATAGCGGTATGTGCCCTAGGAGCAGGCTTGCCTTAAAGAGCTTTTGTAGGTGTACCTTTAAGTGCTCGTAGCCTTTTTGCA